AAGACTACTTCACGAGTAAGTCACCGTCCCTGCACCATCGTGCTATAGAGCACAGGATAGATCTGGTCCAAAACGACGATCGAACTGTCGTGTTCTAACTGCTCATTAAGTTGATGGGTCACCTTTTGCAATGCAATCTTCCTGCGCTGCTACCTTCCAGTCTCTAAACCTTGTCCAACGAAGTCCTTATTGTACAATTCATCGCGTAGAGTAGGTTTTCATATCACCGAGAAGTGTCGTCGAAAGGCACTCGAACATTGTGAAATCTCCAGAGTCTCCTGTAGAAATTAAATTTATTGGTCCAAAAAGACGGACCAAAATAATTGTGAAATTTTGAAGTATATATGACATCTGTCTTTTCCCCACTTAATATACATGGTAAACATTTAACATTAAATTAGTCATCCTCTGATGGTTTTCATGAGGGGAAATACGGGCATTCTACCAAGATTAAAATATTGGATCAGACAACAAATGGATAACTGGTTTCTTGTTTGGTGTCCTCGTCGGCCGTAGGCATCTCTTCCAGTACGGTAGAGCCAGGTCTGAAGAATTCTGCGAGATTGTCCCGGAAGCCCTTGTCAAACGGGTTATGGAAGCTGTTTCCCTTCCCACGAAAGTGAGCATACCTAGGCCAGTTGACAAGCTCGTTTGTCGTCACGTTGAAGAGGGCCCGACTTAGCTGAGGGCGGAAGGAAGAAGACAAAGCAAAAAAGGGACATTTTGAAACTTGGCGAGTATTTGAGGTATGCTAAGGTAAAATCATAGGAATTTTGTATACTGGCGACTGAAACTATTGTCTTCTGCAAGGGTACCGGTTGAGAACGTGAAAGTGAGTGTTGCGAATCACATTATGCAGCGGCTGAGCAGACTACATTTTGAGTTAGTGCAAATGTTTCTTTTAACTAAGTGCCAGGAAAGCACAGAACACCGACGTCTAAAAAGAAGGCAAGTCTTCTTCGCTAACTGTTCTACCTGCGTACCTGATAAGAATGAGTATCTTGAAACAGTTTCATGCAAAATTTCTAGACACAGCATGGCTACCAAATAGGTTTTTACAGACTATTTTCGCGTGAAATGTTTGCCACTTGGTGTCAAAATCCAGAGGGCCATCTACTGGATTTGCAAATATGTACAAATAAAAATGCTAAGAACTTTGAGAAGTAGACGCAAGTAGACAAAGTAGTAACATTTATCGGATCCAACAGCTTGCGCGGCCGCTCAGAAGCTGCATCCTGTCGCTACAAAGCAGCAAGGTCATGACCTAGTGCCAAGCTAATCAATAGAATTAGTAACTTAAACATCATATGGGACATTGCGGATTTAAGTTTTAATTCATTTTCAGAGACAGCATCAGATAAAGGCAATTCGTACACAGGGGGTGGCAGTATTTATAGGATGCAATCGCTAGGCTACTGCATACTTATGACAATAAGCGGTCCCCCCTCCATCGATGCTGATTGCCTTCTGGTGCGCGGCAATGGATTGGTGACCGACATACGGGTCTTTATCGGCTGAAATGTCAGCACCCGTGTTGGTGATTTCCTCGGCCACCTGGTTCACCGACATTGGCGTTAGAAAGTGTTTCCGTCTGCCCGGTCACCATGCGGCTGATAAATTTGGCCAAACCAAGCCTTGGCGCAGAATATCGGTTGGAGAAGTCATTTCACTTGTTAATAGACTGGTGGCCCGTAAACCGCCTAGCGATTGCATCCTATACATACTGCAACTTCCTATGTACAAAATGCCCTGCTGCTGCCTCTGAAGATGGGTGCAGTGAACCGGAAACTAGAGTCGCCGAAATGTAATACCTTCGATGGGTATTCAGAGAAAATAGCCAACCGTACAACTTTGTCAACCGATGAATGCGCAAACGAGGTGAGTAACAAAGTCGCATCGACACGAAATTTCGGCGAGCGATTCGGTACGTCAAAAAAGGCCTCGGAGGCCACCGGTTACCTTCTCGCGCCACTTGGAATTGGAGTCGCACACAGACCGGAGGCTACCATAAGGCGTCAGATAATGAAACCCAAAAACCCACTGCCGCGGCAACAAACATTTGGAGTCGTCTATAAGATCTGGTGCAGTTGTGAATAAGCAACTAGGTTGGAGAGACTAAAAGACCTCTCAGGACGCGAGTTTCCGAACACGTGGCAGCCGTGCGGAGAAATTGCGCCAATTCTCAAGTTGCTGCTGATTCGACGAGACCCGACTACGCATTCAAGTTTGATGAGGCGGAAATTCTTGCGAGAGGTGACAGTCGTGTACGTTGCGAGTTGCTTGAGGCACGGTTCACGGCTCACGGGCCCCCATTCCATGAACAAGTGTAACGACCTGCCCAATCCATATGCGGCGCTGAGGCTTAGTTTGACCAAAGCAGTTCGTCATTCGGGGAACGAACAGATCAATGCGTCGTCTAACGCCAGCGCCAGGGAGCCAGATGGCCGAGCGATCATCATGCCCATTTCCACCACGTGTGATGAAATTTAAGTAGCTAAGGGCCCGTACACCGGCCATTAAGCAATTAACGCAACTTACTCGCGATTAGGGATCCGTTGTCATGAGTGTGTAGTATCATAGTGACTGTGTCGCATAAATACTGCAACTCCGTGTATGAATTACCCGCTTATTATATTTCCTCTGATGATGGACTCGTATGTTTGCTTGTATTGACAATTGCCCTCTTGTGCGCTAATGGCTCGATGACTGGCATGTGGTCGTAACCATACTGAACGTTCAGTATCCGTGATGGATGTTGGCGTGATTATTACTCGGTCATATGGCTCACCGGCACTGGCGTAGGAATGTGTTTGCCTGCGCGCTCCCCAAGTGGCTAACTGTTTTGGCCAAACTGAGTCCCAGTATCGACTATGGATTGGGGAGGTCGCCACACTTGAGAAGGAGGGAGGGCGTATAAGCTATGACTCAAGCAACCCGCGGCTCACGCGATGGTCACATCTCACAAGGAGTTCGGCCTCAGCGAACTTGAATATGTGGTCAAGTCTCGTCGAATGAACCACGACTTCAGAATTGGCATCATTTATCCAAAAAGCTGCCACATCCGAAGAAGTCTTCCAGTTTATCCAATTTAATTGTTTAGCCTGAACTGTACCAGATCCGATAAACTATTCCAGACTTTTCTGGCCGTGGCAGTGGATCCTTTGGTGTACTGCTTCGCAATTACTTCTTGAGCCTCGTATCTTCGCTTGACGTCTTTGAGGTCGGTACGACATTTCGGAAGTTGCGAACTGGAGGGGTAACTCGGTCTCCTTCCCGGCTGAGGTCGAAAAAACCCCTTCTTCGTGGAGACTTCAGGATAATTCGCTCCCTTACTTGAGATTAGCAATGTACACTTTAAAGTCTGGTTCGTACATATATAGGCTCCAGCATTTTTATGATATGTTTACACGTGATCTCGGCTTTCTTGGTCACCACACCGAAGGCAATTTATGGTCATCTTCACTTAGTCTTGCTAGGGTTAGAATATTGAAATACTTACCTTGCCTGGAATTATGCACAGTGCCACCTTTATTATTTGGGTGGAGCGTTTGTATTCCAGTGTTCTATTTAGGAAGCATATAAGTAATCCTTAGCGTGCACTTTGTTATAAACAAAATCGCTCTTAAGTTTGCCTCAGTATACGCAACTGCAAGTCACCATTACGCCGTTTGCGGGATAGTGATGGACGTCTTCGTTTGCGACGGTCAACTATGGCTTTTTTCAGTAGAAGAACATACTAAACATTTACGCGCATCAAAAAGGGTTAAAATGCTAGCGTATCAAAGCACTGCATCGATATAAGCGCACCTCAATATACGTGCAGAAAGAGGCCCTGTTCAGGAAGTTTTTCAGTTAACTTGTAGAGTATTTGAAAACCGCACCGTCCTAAGGGCTCAGCCGACGCATTAGTGAACAGGAGAGCCGAAGGTACACCTTTGAAAGAACAGATAACAAAAAAATTTGCTGACTTCTCGACTGTTAAACGGAATATTTACCTTGTAATTCTTAGGCTGGCTGGATTTGGCAAAAATGAACGCCATAATGGGATGATTTTGAGTTAAACGGAACCAACAGTAAGTCCATGAATTTTAGATATGTAATTGTAACTATTTTCATCCGTTATCGTCTCCCATTTTTAAAAATCTAAATTAAGCGACCAACCATTGCTGAGCTTACCGTTCCTATGGATGCATTCAGGGCTGATGTCCATCCTGAGAACAAGAGAATCCAAGTAAAGATATCACAAAACCGGGTTTTCGGCGACCAGTACCAAGCCGCAACTGAAAGATAGCCGATAACGGAGGTGGTGATGAGAACGAAGAGGCCCGTCAGTAGGAACCATACCCTGGAAATGTAGACAAAATGGTCTTACAGCCAGTCAAATAACTGATATACACGTTCATCGAACATGGCTAATTAATAAGCTAAATCGTAATTACACAATGTGGACTGATGACTTTGTTATCATCACTGTATCAGAGACAAAGAGCACCGCGTCCTTTGTTGTTCTAAATTATCATCAGGTATCGGTCAGGCAGCTGCATAGGTCACAATGTAAGAAGAGGCACGAGGCGCCGTTCATAACAGAACAAAGTTCGTGGAAAGAAGGGATAAAGCGAACTACCCAATAGTAATCATCAGGGAATAACCAGTTATACTGACCATGCTTATGTCGAATCTCTAGCTGCAGTAATTACTGAAGTAATAGAAAAG